TTTGAGCATAAAAATAAAACTCAGCACCAAAATCTCCTACATCACAAATATTGCGCCAAGCTCATTTTCACTTAACAGATCTTTTGATGAGCAATTGATTCACTTAGAGCCCGTTTGGATTAGCTGATTGTAAATAGCCGATAAGCTTGAAGTGCTGAAAAGCTTTTTTAAGTGCTGAAACTGATTTTGAAAATAAGCATTTACGTGTTTGGATAGAAGTGCTGAAAATGATAATAAGCAGTTGATGTATTTGATTAAAAAGTGCTGATAAGTTATTCTTTTGTTAAAATGACTAAAATGCCCTAGAATTTTTTTCAAAAAATTATAAATTAAAAATTTCTTTGTAAAGAAAGGAATTAACAACGAATATGGAATGGAGAGAAAGTCAAAAAATTTATTTAGGGAAAACTATTTTGTGAATTAGAAAATATTATTAAGGATAAACTAGTAAAAGTGTTGGTCAAACTAAAAGTGCTTATAAGCTGAAAAGCCATAAGTTGGGGGTGACCAGCTTATGACTTGTGGCTGATTTTAGCTTATAAGCACTTGGCTTATACGCACTTTGGGTGTTTACCAAACACGTAGATAAGCCAAAAGGTACTTATAAGCTAGTTTGACCAGCTTATAAACTTAGCCAAACACCCTCTTGAGATCTTTTTCGAGGAGCAATGGACTAATACATATATCTGAGCACTGTGAGCCACATTCTCAAAAACTCTACGTGGCAGAATGTAAGCCACTTGTACCATCATGCAAAATTGAAGCCCCATACGATGAAACAAAAAAAAACGAAAATGAAAACGAGCAACAAATCAAGAATCTATCCTCGTTATCCAAACCCAATCTTAACCCTCCAATCCTTTTTCATCAACGGGACAGTGTATCGGCCTATCCATAAAGTCTGTAGCAAAATTCTGACACGATCACTTATAGACTCGGCTGCAATCCGAATGAGGTGGAGTCTTACCGATCTTTTACTGAATGTTAACCTCGTCTACTATGACGGCTCCTCAAACTTATTGTCTATACCTGCAGGTGTTGCTCCCCAAACGCACACGCAAGTATACGTGGTCGACAAGTAATATAATGATAAGTTGAGTGTTGAACCCACAGAGACTTGTGTAAACTACTCACGAAATTACTAAAATTATTATTCAGTCCAGCTAAAATCAAAAGTCCAACAATATGATTATACTATACTACGATTCTAAGTAATACTAAATTATCAAGTAACGAATTAATTGTTGTGTATTCAGTAGAGACAAGTATTCCAGGGTTGTGATCGATTCACCAATCATATTGTGTTCTAATTAACTCTCCCCTTCATATAATTCACTCATGGTTGCTAATTAATCGATAAAATGCTCTCATAGCCTTCTCCCGAAGTAATACTCACCTATTCTTAATAGATTAACGCCTATATTCCTATGAAATCAATCTATTAAGAACGCATTAAGATCACAATATTTAATTAAGCACGGTGACTAGATATATTCCTATCCTAACCACAAATCCGCTCCCCCTAAGGGTTAAGATCATGCTATCTTCAATTCTTCTCTAATCAAAACATGGCTTTCCCAAGAATAGCATAGATAGTAAATAGAACCTAACTGTTGGCCAGACAATTAAGCAATTAAACACAGAATTGAAGAAACAACCATATATTGGTGAATTATAATCAAGGTCAAGCTAATATCAAACAACAATATTCATAGCTAAATCACAACCCCAGAACAATGGGTGTTTAGCCACTCATGATGTAATCAAACAATTTCATAAGTTTTGATTAATTGAAAGTACTGGAAAAGATGAAGAATTCCGAGTTGTTCTTGCTCCTCAATGTTTCTCACGTGTATTTTTGCTCCAAAGTGGCGTCCTCCCCTTTTCTTGGCCGGCTCCCTTCGTTTAATATAGGGTTTAGGGCTTAAAATCCCGTATTTTGCACTTTGGTCCTTGAAGTTTATGCGTCCTGCCGCGGTCCTACCGCTGTTACGCCAGGACCGCGGCCAGAGTGGCCTTCGGAATCTGCAGCAGTGTTCTGCCGCGGTCCTACCGCGGTTACGCTCGGACAGCGGCCAGAGTGGCCTTCAAATCTGGTTTTGTCCCTTCGCTTGGTGCACTTTGTGGATATTGTATGATTGGCCTCCTTTTCTCCGTAATTGATCCCAAAAGTACTCCACATACTTCTTTTATTGGATATAGCCTGCAAAGCATGAAAAGCACCAATCAGAGCATTTTGTTATCACTTTTTACCGTAAAAGCTATACAAAAATGTGGTTCTTTAGGGCCTAATTATAGTCTAATTTACCTACTATCACCTATCATCAGCAGGCATGAATGCAGCGTCCCCAACAAAAGGACGTACGAATAATGTACCAAGTATGTAAGGCATATAAATAAGTATATAAAAGACATGGAAGAAACATGGAGTAAATGACTCAACTTGTAAGTCTGGATAACTCTGTAAATCATGAAATACTTATAGTGTCATGCATATGCATATGAATGTTATGTCGTGCATAGGTACATGTGTTCATAACATCATCAAGCCTCTGAGGGCATCCCATCATATCATCTCGGCCACTGTGGGCAAAATTATCAACGCATACCAGCTAATCAGATAGTGGTGCGTATATAACGCCGTAACCTTTTTCCATATCCTATATATATATATATATATATATATATATATATATATATATATATATATATATATATATATATATATATATATATACACACATACATACACATATATACGCGTATATTACGTCATCCGGTAATGGGTCAATGTACATGTATAAATGAATTCAATGCATGAGAGTATGTCAATAAAATCTCTCGAAATGTCATAAGACCATTATGCCTTTGAGTAATATCATGAAGTAATTTTTTTTTTCAACTTACTTATTTTTCTGAGACCCATTAACAGAATATGTAATAATAAGACACATGAAAATTCAAGAACATAGGCACCTCTAATACTTTTATGAATAGAGTCATTTATGGGAGTTGTACATTTGCTCGTCTCGTTTGTGTCGTATAGATCCTGCCAAAAGGAAAGAAGGGATAGCCTTAACATACCTGGACCGATTCTCTTGGCAATTCCTCTAACACACGTCTTTTGCGACGAAACACGTAACGGCGGGTCGAAATTGAAAAAAATCCGTATGATATTCTTGAGAAAGATTGTACCGTGTTTTCTTAGAATTGCATCTCACGCATAATATGATCTCATGTAAATTTGCTGAAGCTCTCTTCATTTCATTGTAGGGATGCAAGCCTCTTTCTTAAGTGATTTAGAAAGGTTTTTAACCTTAATTGGTGTGGGCCCCATATTATAATGACCTGGCCGCAAATTCCTTGAAAAGTGTCACCTTGCTACATGGTGTAAGAGTCACAATTTTGGCTTGATTAAGACTCCACTTGCGGCCACGTTGGGGCTCTTTAAACTTATCCAAAGATCTTAATTAATCTCCCACTAATCTATAATTAACCAATTATCCACATAATCAAGAATTATCTCGAATTACTTAAAATACTACTCACTTTTAAATACCTTATATACCTTACTATCATGGTCATGTGGTACCTTGTATGGTACTAGTCCATAAGTACCGGATATTATAGCGCGGTCCGTATTGTATCCCGAATTGTCAAACTTTGACGAAACTCATTTTCTTCGATCCGCTTACCCTCTCACCTTCACGAATTTACTTATCACTTGTTTGAAATAACATAATACTTATAATCTCCAAATACTCTTGTCCTTGAACTGATGTTAATTATCTTACGACAAATTCAATGTACAATACTACAGGGTGTAACGTCGTCTAATATAATACTGCGGAGCGTAACATCGATGTAATTTTGCGGGGCATAACAGATATGGAGTGCAGTATTGCTACCAAGACATAGGTTCATAATGTGGTTGGCTAATCAAGACAGATTACTCACAAAAAAAAGACTTAGTCGATTACAGGTTCCTATCAATTCTAAGATATGTAGTATATGTGAAGATGATAAAGAGGAGACTCAGAAACACTTGTTCTCGGAGTGTGAATGGACATAAAAACTGCAGGATCGACTGGAAAGCTGGTTCGACATTACAATGCAGAGGAAACAGGTGACACAAGGATTACAATGGACCAATGGAAAGCATTGGAGACAATTCAAGAAAGAAATTGCAGCAGCAGTTCTAATCTACCACACTTGGCAGGCGAGAAATGAAAACTTTTCAAGGCAACAACTGTAAATATAGAACAAGTAGTTACTCAGGTGAATATAGAAATTAGAGGAAGGATAGATCCTATGAAAGACAATAAACGAGCTAGAAAATGTAGGTATATAGTGAAAAGATTGTGTAATTAGAGGAGAGTCTGATTCGGGAGGCTTGGGGAAATATGCACCCTTCCTGGAAGGTGGTACCGAATCCTCAAGTGCTCTTTAGTGTGTAATTATTTTTGTTTATTGTGGTAATTTATTTACAGCTTTTTACCAAAAAAAAATCATATTTTTCTTCTAGTGAAAAAGATTATAAGTTATTTATTCACTTGTTATTTATGGGTTATGATGAGAAAGAATTAGTCAAACTTAGATGCAGTAATTGAAAATTTGGAGATAAAAATAAAACTCAGCACCAAAATCTCCTACAACACAAATATTGCGCCAAGCTCATTTTCACTTAACAGATCTTTTGATGAATAATTGATTTACTTAAGATCTTTTTTGAGGAGCAATGGACCAATACATATATCTGAGCACTGAGAGCCACATTCTCAAAAACTCTACGTGGCAGAATGTAAGCCACTTGTACATCATGCAAAATTGAAGCCCCATACGATGAAACAAAAAAACGAAAACGAAAACAAGCACCAAATCAAGAATCTATCCTCATTATCCAAATCCAATCTTAGCCCTCAATCATTTTTCATCAACGGCACTCATCCCCTTAATATCCCCAACCATATCCATCAAAATCATACAAAAAATTTCATAAAAACTCCACACTTTCAACACACTCACTGTCCACACACCAAACCATGGCTTCCATTGCTCTCAAAACTTTCACCGGCCTCCGTCAATCCTCGCCGGGAAACAATTCCATTACTCTCTCTAAATCCCTCCCCTTAACCCAAACCCACCGTAGGCTCCGTATCAATGCTTCCAAGTCCAGCCCAAGAGTCAACGGCCGGAACCTTCGTGTTGCGGTGGTTGGCGGTGGTCCTGCTGGTGGCGCCGCCGCTGAGACACTCGCCAAGGGCGGAATTGAGACCTTCTTAATCGAACGCAAAATGGACAACTGCAAGCCATGCGGTGGGGCCATCCCTCTCTGCATGGTGGGAGAATTTGACCTCCCTTTGGATATCATTGACCGGAAAGTTACAAAGATGAAGATGATTTCTCCCTCCAACGTTGCTGTCGATATTGGACAGACTTTAAAGCCTCACGAATACATCGGTATGGTGCGCCGCGAAGTACTCGATGCATACCTCCGTGACCGTGCTGCTGAAGCCGGAGCCTCTGTTCTTAACGGCTTGTTCCTTAAAATGGACATGCCCAAAGCCCCCAACGCACCTTACGTCCTTCACTACACAGCTTACGACTCCAAAACTAACGGCGCAGGAGAGAAGCGCACCCTGGAAGTTGACGCCGTTATCGGCGCTGACGGAGCAAATTCCCGTGTCGCAAAATCCATCAACGCCGGTGAGTACGAGTACGCTATTGCTTTCCAAGAAAGGATTAGAATTTCAGATGATAAGATGAAGTATTACGAGAATTTAGCTGAAATGTACGTGGGTGATGACGTGTCCCCTGATTTTTACGGGTGGGTTTTCCCCAAATGTGACCACGTCGCCGTTGGTACTGGCACAGTCACCCACAAAGCTGACATCAAGAAATTCCAGCTAGCTACAAGACTGAGAGCCGATTCCAAAATCACCGGCGGAAAAATTATCCGGGTCGAGGCCCACCCGATTCCAGAACACCCAAGACCCAGAAGATTGCAAGACAGAGTTGCATTAGTTGGTGATGCAGCAGGGTACGTGACAAAATGTTCAGGCGAAGGGATTTACTTCGCGGCAAAGAGCGGACGTATGTGTGCTGAAGCAATTGTTGAGGGGTCAGAAATGGGAAAAAGAATGGTGGACGAGAGTGATTTGAGGAAGTATTTGGAGAAATGGGACAAGACTTATTGGCCAACGTACAAGGTGCTTGATATATTGCAGAAGGTATTTTACAGGTCAAATCCGGCGAGGGAGGCATTTGTTGAAATGTGCGCAGATGAGTATGTGCAGAAGATGACATTTGACAGCTATTTGTACAAGAAAGTGGCACCAGGGAACCCCATTGAAGACTTGAAGCTTGCTGTGAATACCGTTGGAAGTTTGGTGAGAGCTAATGCATTAAGAAGGGAAATGGACAAACTCAGTGTATAAGAGGATTAATAGCATTAATATTTTATTGTAATTGAAGAATTTATTTCTCAAATTACTCTGTAAACACCTTTCATCCTGCCTTTAATCGGATTTATGTAACTTCATCATTCGAGCTACATGTCAGACAGGCTTGAGTTGATCATTATCGAAGTTGGTTTAATTTTTGAATTAAGATTTATTATAATAACTAAGCTATGTAATGCTGGGATAACTTGCAGTTAAATGCCCAAGTTAAGACTAAGAAAACGTTCTGTCAATAAAAAATCGCATGTTACCACCGTTCAGTTCTTAGGAAGAAGAATTATCGTTGTGAAAGGACTAATTGGGGTCATTAAATACTTTGTATTTACTTAAAGATGAAAAAATTGATCTCGCAATTATATACAAACTTCTTTTTTTTTTTGTGCAAAGGATGATATATATATATATATATNTATAGATATATATATATATATATATATATATATATATATATATATATATATATATATATATATATATGTTAACTGAAAGTTTCCAACCTTACACAGCTTTGGCAGTTACTGGGGTATTTNGGTAGTAGTTAGTTGTTAGTTCTTTGTTACTGTACGTTTAAGTTTTTTTTAGGTTGTACGAAAGGATGATATATATATATATATATATATATATATATATGTTAACTGAAAGTTTCCAACCTTACACAGCTTTGGCAGTTACTGGGGTATTTTAGTGCCCCCATTGATGCATAGTTTTGCATAATAGTACTTAAATTACAACCCAAAAATAATCTAGGTAATTCAATTCCTAGGATGTCTGCCCAAAAAACATCATTGGCAAACACCGGAGGAACTGCTAGAATTAGAGATTTAGACAAAAAAATTTCTTCTGCTGCTTTCTTAGCAAGAACGTCAGCTATCCTGTTTTGCTCCCTTTAGGTATGTTTCACTTCCACTCTGCCCATCCTTTGGATCAATGACCTGCATTCACAAATTAAAGGGTCAAATATTAGATTGCCATTAATCAGCATATTAATTATTTCAGCGGAGTCGGTATTTATTTCCACAGGCAGTAGATTGTGCTGTTCCGCCAACTGAAGGCCTTTGGTGATTGCTCTGATTTCTGCCCCTGTATTTGAGGTAAAGGGGATGTTCTCCATGTAGCCTAGAATCCATTCCCCATTGTGATTTCTGAAGACTCCTCCTATTCCTCCTATTCCAGGATTTCTTTTTGCTGCACCATCTGTGTTCAGTTTATAGGATTCCCTTGGAGGAGGAGACCATTTCAGCATCACTTGGTGCTTATATTTTGCATGCTTACTGTCACTCAACACACAATTGTGTTGTTTGCATTAATAGGGTCCCTTTTGTTGTTAAAGACATTACTGTTCCTTGTTAGCCAAATGTGCCATAGACAGAATGGCATGAGATTGCCCCAGTTGAGGCACTCATTGTACTTAATGTCTTTGATTCTACTCATAATTGATGCCCAAGGGAGGCCATTTAGACTAAGACTTGGCATAGTTGAGGTTGATGCTTTTGCTCTTATTGAGTGCCGTGCACTGGGAGAAGATATGGTCAATGTCCTCCTTATCAAACCCACAAAAGTGGCATTGTTGTGGGCATTCCAGCCCAATTGAGTGAAGAAAATTACTCGTTGGTAGTCTTTTATGTGTTAGAAGCAACAAGAAGTTCTTTATTTTGTTTGGGATGTGGAGCTTCCATAACCCTTTGAAGAGTTCCCCTCCATCAGTAGTGGTGCTTTGGTTTTGCCTGCTCAGAAGAGAGTAGGCAGAGGAAATTGAGAATTGGCCATTGGCAGTGAGATCCCAGATTAGATTGTCCTCCTTGGTGGACACACTAGGGATGAATACAGACCTCAGAAGGTCATGTATATGGGGTGGAAGAGAGAATGATAGGCTTGAGGTGTTCGAGGAGCCCATCTGGTGGACAGAATTAACCTTGATGTTAAGGTCATTTTGAGTTTGGGGGCCTTGAATTAGCTCTCTTAGAGCTGGCTGGTTGGGGATCCATTTATCGTTAAAGAAGTTTACCCTATTCCCTTTGTGCACTACCCATCTACTGCCTTTGGCAGAAGTTTCCCAGTCCTTCAGCAGTCCCTTCCAAATGGGTGATTTTTGAGTTCTAGGCTGTCTCTGACCCTGATTGGGTCTTGACATGTTGCAATGTTTGTGGATCAGAACTCTGGCCCAAAGGCAATTGGTATTTTTGTAGGCTCTCCATGCTAGGTTTGCTAAAGAAGCTTTGTTTTTTGACAGGCCTTCTGCAATCCTAATCCCCCTTCTTGCTTAGTTTGAGTAACTACCTCCCATTTAACCAAGTGCATTTTTCTTTTTCCCGGGGTGGTGCCCCAGATGAAGTTCCTTTGGAGTTTATCAATCTGTTTGGTTACTTTGGTGGGAAGGGAAATGTATTGCATGACATGGCTAGGGATACTGTTCAGTGTTGACTTAGCCAGGACTGTTCTCCCTGCCATGTTGAGGCATTTAGTCTTCCAGCCAGCAAGTTTAGAGTGCATGTTGTCAATTATGGACTGGAAGTCTGCTGATGTTTGCCTTGTGTGGAAGATGGGGAATCCAAGGTATTTCCCAAAGGATCTGGATTGTTTGATGGAGAGTATGGATGTAAGGAGCTGAGCTGAGTCCCGGGAAGTGTTAGAAGAGAACAGGACTCTTGATTTGGACAAATTTATTTTTTGCCCTGATTGGGTGTTGAAGCTCTCTAAAATTGACATTATAGTGTTACAGTTCCTGTTGTTGGCCTTAGCAAAGAGAGTAAGGTCATCTGCGAAGAATAAATGTGAAATCTTGGGGCCTGACCTACTTATGCTAATGGGATGCCACTTGTTCTGTTGGACTGCTTGGTCATTGGATCTAGAGAGCCTTTCCATACACAGTATGAAGACATAGGGTGACATAGGGTCTCCCTGTCTGATGCCTCTTGAAGGGTTGAAGGCTTCATTTTTTCCCCCATTGACAAGAATGGAGATGGAGGAGGTGCTAACACAAGGCATTATGAGATTGGATAGGTTTTTAGGGAAGTTGAAGGCATGGAGAGTGTCCCTTATGAAGGACCACTCCAGCCTGTCAAAGGCCTTTTCCGTGTCAATTTTTAGGATCATATTACCCTTCCTTCCTTTCATTTTCCTGAAGTGGTTTATGTATTCCTGAACAATGATAGCATTGTCACAGGCCCTTCTATTGCTTAAGAAGCTTGCTTGGCTTGGGCCTATGATGTGATTCATGTTGGGTTTGATTCTATTCACAATGATCTTGGTTACTGTTTTGTAAATAGTATTACAAAGACCAATGGGTCTGAAGCTTTTCAGCATTGAGGCTTGGGGAACTTTTGGGATTAGACAAACAAGAGTTTGGTTATTGAAGCATTTCATGCAGAATTGTGAGACAGACTCTCCTACTATGTCCCAGTATTTTTGGTAAAAGAAGGGGTGGAGACCATCTGGGCCAGGTGACTTAAATGGTTTATTGGAGAAGACAGCCTTTTTTATTTCAGCCATTTGTGGGGGTCTGTCCATGAATGTTTTGTGGCTTTGGAGCAGGGTGGGTTCCAAGGTGGAGTGATTGGTGACTTCCCAAGGTACATGAGTGAGAGATGTGGTGTAAAGCTTGGTAAAGAAATCTACAATGGTGGACTGGATTTCCTGGGGACCAGTGATCCAGTTTCCATTGTCTTCTTTTAGGGAGAGGATCCTATTTCTCCTTCTTCTATTCAGAGTAGAAGTGTAGAAAAATTTTGTGCTGGCATCTCCCTCATTGAGCCAGTTGATCCTGGATTTTATTTTCCAGAAGTCCTCCTCATTTTTGAGGATGAGGTTTAGCTCATCATTCAGCTCAGACTCAAGGTTTTGAAGAAATCTGCTGAATTGATAGCTATTAGACCTTTGGATGCCATTGATTCTGGCAAGGAGTCTGTTTTTTTGGTGGAAAATGTTGCCAAACACTTCCTTATTCCATTTGGTTGCTAGCTTTTGAAATTCATCTATGGAGTGGAGCAGACCTGGGTGGTCTTGGAAGGCTTGGCTTATGATGTTAGGGAAGGATGGGTGGCTAGCCCACATTGTTTCAAATCTGAAGGGTCTGGATGATTTATTATTTGGTGGCCCTTCCATTTGGATTTTTAAAGGGCAGTGATCAGAGTGGGTCCTAGGTATGTGAAGTACACTAGCCTCAGGGTGTTGCTTGATGCAGCCTTCATTCGCAAAACACCTATCAATCCTTTCCAGGATTAGGGTATTACAACTGGTGTATCTTTTATTAGTCCAAGTGTATTTACTACCTTTGTAACCCAAGTCAATAAGATTACACTTATTTATGCAGTTCCAGAATTGGTTGCTACGGTTTAAGTTTATAGGGTTTCCCCCAAACTTATCCCTAGCTTTCAAGACTTCATTGAAGTCTCCCCCAATGAACCAGTTATGACTGGTTGTTCTAGCTATAGTTGTTAGCTGCTCCCATAGGAACTTTCTTTCAGAGATGAGATTACTTGTGTAAATAGCAGAAAAAAACCACGGAGGATGGTCAGGTTTTACCTTCACCATAGCATGTATTCCTTGGGGTGTTGTGGCCACTTCCTCCACAACCACTAGCTCTTCTTTCCACATGAACACAATGCCCCCTGATAAGCCTACCGCTGGAGATTGGATGATCATCTCAAAATCCAGAGCTTGAGCCAACGCTTGATGGTTGGCCATCTTGGTTTCTAACAGCACCAGCATTGCCGGCTTATGCATCCTAACCATTTCAAGACAGTGTCTTTTAAACTCAGCGCCGTTGCCCCCCCTAACATTCCATATGATGTAATTCATTAATGGGGGGCTGTGGGCGATGGGGTAGATCCCTCCTGGGGACTTAGTGAGCTTGGCATGTTGGGCACTCGAGGGGGTGGTGATTTCCTTTTCAGGTTCAGGAAGGGGGTTGAATGTAACAGGGGTTTCAACTGACCTTGTGTGTGGGCTAGGACTAAGCTCATTCTACATTTGGACATCACCCTGGGACACAAGACCACCACTACTTCGCTCACTTGAGTACTGAACTCGATCGATCTCACTGAGTCTAGCAACATCGAGTCCGTTGTTGTTGGTAGGTAGCTTTGCTCCGGCTCCTTTGAAGCATCCTTCTCCTTGAGAATCTCCAGTGCTGTGGTGTTTTCTCGATGGATGTTCTGTAGTGGGGGTGAGGGTGGTGTTTTCTTCGCATGCGTTGTCTTGTGGATTGGTGGGATGGGGAGTTGAGTGAAAGAAGGCTCCGCCGCTGGATCCCCCTTCATCAAGTCCGGGAAGAAGGGAAGTGATTGAAAGATTTGAAGAATATTGCTGTTTAGGGTTTGTGGGTCTGTGATTGGGGCTGGGCTGTCGCTGTTGGCCATCGACTGCCATAGCATTGGTCCAAACTCCGTCAGGTCCTTGTTGAGGGCTTCCACTGTGACTCTCGCAAGGTGTGCCGGGTTCTGCACAATTAGGGTGACTTTCTTGCTGTCGATTGTGAATTCGTAAGAGAGTCCATGTCCCTGCAATGCCACCTCCAACCAGGAGGCCGGTTGGTGGTCCGATGGTAATGGGTGGGTGGTGATTGTGGCTGTGGTCGGATTTTTTGCCATTTTTGTGCTTTTTGGCTTTGCTAGTTTGGGAAAGGATTGAAGTGGGGAGAGACGACTGATTTCCCATCATAAAGCTCCCTAGTGTCATATCTTGGAAAGTGGACAGGCTTCCTTATTTTGGGATTAGGGTTTTTGGACGGTTATTAATTGTGGATGTAACGGAGGTGACCCTTGGGGTCTTTTCGATTGTTGAAGGGGGAAGTTGCAGACAGGGCACTCGATTGCCATATCTGTCGCTTGGGTTTTCTCCATTAGAGGTGTTCACAGTAGATGTGGTAGGGGAAGCATAGACTTTGGGGCCTAAGGTTTCCGGTTCATTTGATTGCATGCGGATGGCCCCATTGGGCACGCTACTTGAGGTAATAATTGGTGCCTCAGTAGTTGGACTGGATCCCACTGGTGGTTTGGGCTGGTGGGTGCTAATTGTGGGGTCTTCAGAATTGAGCCCCGCTTTCCTTTTAGAGCCCGTGTTGTGCAGCTCTGTTGTACTTGGGGTAGGCAAGCGCCTTGGCATTTTTGGGCCGCTGGTGGTTATTTTTGTTGGTCCTTGTTGCCTCTTTGGAAGTTTTTGGGTACTGTTTATCTGATTTTTAACGTTGTAATTAAAAGCTTTGGGTTGGGGGGGCTTACCTGAAAAGTCATTGGACTTATTTACCTGGCTTTCCTCTACCTGCATATTGTTGTGTTGTCTAATAGGATGATCTTCCGCATTTGGAGATGTTTTTAGCTGTCCCTGCTTCCGTCTTCTTGGGAATGTTATTGTCTTCCATTGGCTCTCCTTCGGTGGGGAGTCCGTTTGATGGTGTTGCTGAGAATCATTGGCTGCTACTGGTTGACGCTGGCTGTATGTACATCTTATGGATGTATGTCCTATCCTCCCACAACTTGTACATAGTGTTCCTTCTCCTTCATAAATCACTGATTGTTTATGGTCACCAATGATCACTGATGTTTTCACTCGCGATTCCAATGGCACTTGGATGCAAATGCGTGCATATCTCCCTCTTAACGTGGAGGAGGTACATTGATCAATTTTCAGGAGTTTCCCAAGTTTCCTCCCAACTTTCTCTAGAATGACTTTGTCGTAGAATTCAGTTGGGAGTTGAGGTAGTCTTATCCAGATGGCAGTAGAAGTAAGCGTGGCTTCATGTGGAACAAACTTTGGTTCCCATTTTCGGACAGAAAGAAAGTGGCCAGATATAAACCATGGTCCAAGATGCAGTGCCTTCACCATACTCTCATCTAAATTAAATTTCACTATGAAGAAGTCCCATCCTAGGTCAATCAAGATTAACTGTTCGGATGGCTTCCATAGTTCAATTAATTTAGGGCGTAGCATGTGATGAAGAATTTTTCTTTTGAAGACTTTGATAATTACTGAGAATTTCCATGGCTGGTATAATCTTTCTTTTTCTTCTGGTGATAGAGGAATTGAACCTTCTATATGTTTACCCTTGCACCCTTCTGGGGTGGACTGGTGTTCCATGTCGTAGTAATTTCCTTGGTTGCATGCCTGTTTGTCTAGGATTGTTTCGTTGTAGGATTGCTTTGGTGATTCTACTTCCATCTGAGTTAGTTTGTCCGGTGGATCCGGCGAGAGGTGGTCTGATTAGTGGTGGTTCCATGGGCCCACACAGTAACTATTGAATACTGAATGAAAACCAACAAAATATTGTTGACAGAATATATACAAACTACATAATGCTCAATGAGTGTCGGATCAATAAGGAAAATAATATGTTTGTATTATGGCCAAATACATATACAGACCATTAAACTTGGCCCAAATTTTCATTTTGGCACTTTAACTCAGCCTTGTTTCATTTTGGCCCTCCAACCCCATTTCTTTTGTTCCACTTTGACAAAAGTTTTTCTCCCAGGTAAAAATACAGCGCATGCAAATACCCAGCTGCTACCCCCACCCCCACCCCACTGCCCCCCATCCCCACCCCCCAACTAAAATTTCCTTTTACCTTTTTTTTTTGTAAATTTTCCAAACTTAATTACTTTTTTACGTTTTTTTCCAAGTCCACCATCGGGGGGAAACGATTTTTTTTATATATATTTTCAGTAATAACTACGGGTTCAACTGAACCCATAACTTTCGACGCGGAGTAAAAATTTGTATGTAAAAATTTATTAAAATTGTAAAAAATAGATATAAACCATAACATTTAAAAATATAATGGGTTCTTTTGTTCCACACTGACACAAAAACTTTTATCCCAGGTAAAAATGCACGTGCGGACAAGTAACCCAGCTGCTACCCACCCCCACCCACCCCCGCAATTTTTTTTTTGTAATTTCAAATTATTATTTTATTCGTTTTTTCTGCCCCCCTCCCGTGGAAAAAATATTTTTTATATATATTTTCAGTAATAACTACGGGTTCAACTGAACCCATAACTTTCGACGCAGAGTAAAAATTTGTATGTAAAAATTAATTAAAATTGTAAAAAAGAAATAGATATAAACCCATAACTTTAAAAATATAATGGGTTCAATGTTAAAAACATTAAAATTGAATCCATAGGATTTAAATTCTGGATCCGCCTCTACGTTGGGAGTATGAAATTTGGCTTAAAAAATGGCTCTCACGCGCCTACGAGGGTGAGGCAAATCACACATGGAATCTAGTCAGCTTTTGTGTCAAAGTGGAATAAAAGAAATGGGATTGGAGGGCCAAAATAGAACAAAGCTGAGTTAAAGCGCCAAAATAAAAAATTGGGCCAAGTTTAATGGGTTGTCTATGTATTTGGCTTGTATTATTTATGTGGTGAATAGTAATGCAAGTATTACTACAATATATGTGCCAAAGTTATGATGGTCCTCAAAACTTGTGGCCAAGTGCAAGCCGTCACGGATCGTTATCATGCTTGACACCAGAGGTGGATCTAGAATTTTTAGTACATAGTGCACCTCTAAAAAAGAGGAGGAAAAAACTCATTTTTATACTTGCTTTTTTCTTTTCCAATTATTTCTTCAGTTAACAAAATGAAAGAGAATAAATGAGATTCTCTTAGATCATTAGGAAGGATCTCATAATTTCATTATCCATGACGTTGCTTTTCAATCCAGCTACAGTACTGGCTTCGAAGCGCCTTGTTCCATCCGGCGCAAATCCCCTCCATAACTAGTATAGTGGAGGTTTTACTTTGTATTGCAATAATGAAAAAAATGACGAAAACAAAATAAATAATGAGCAGACCAGCCCACTTTGATAGGTCGGTTCCCTATTCCTCTTAGTAACTAATTCAACCTTCAACCAAGTGCATTATTCAGTCTTTTTGGAGCATGGGTGCCAATAGTTAATATTATACTAATTTTAAAAAATATATCCATAAAATATTTAATTTTGCGAAGAGACCATGAATTCACGTGCCCCATATTTATGCCTATAGATCCGCCTGTGGTTGCCACAAAGCAAGATTTGCTCCATCCTTCGTAACTTTGTAAGATCCGCCGGAACTTTGCGGCTAAATTCTAACCCGCAAATTATTTTTGGTAAAATTTGTTTAAATGGGATCATAACTTAGACAATAACACTAAAAAAATTCTACTTGTGCAAGTCACCGGCCCAGTCCGATCCAATCTTTATTTTCATTGTTAGGTTTGTGGACCCAATGAAGGAGACTCATAACATCACAAGCCTAACACTATTAATTAGGCACTTAAGTTTGACTTATTTAATTCAAAGAATATACAATATTAAATGTACATTCAATTTTAGTTTTATATAAGTTTCTCTCTCTTAACAGTTTCTCTCGGCGCACGTTAACGTGGCCCTGCTAACGTACGCAGTTCGAAGCCATAACAAGGAGAGGTCGATCTAAGAAGAACCTTATGAAGGTTCCGATCACTGACCAGAGATCAGCGGAGGCACGTAACACAGTATTGGAGTTGTTTGTCTCACCAAAAGGTGTGAGAACTGAAGAACCAGCTGAGACAGTCACTCCGAGGAACATGCAAGCGAGCAGAGCAAGATGGATTCAGATCCAACACTTAAAAATGCTAATATGAAAGAAGCGATGGCTACACCTGTAGCTGCTAGAGACACAGGAGGTGGATCTGGGAGCGGGAAAACTCAACCACAGCTGAAGACGCCAAACAACAATGGAATAGTGCCATGCAAAACTTGCACTATAGAAATTCCCAACGGTACTGAGCAAGTAGAGAAGGTAAACGGTAATCAATCATGGGCGAATGTGGTAGTAGGGAATAAATTGGCAATGAAAGGGATGAATTTACAATTCATTGCACCAGTGATTCAAAATGGGGAGAAAATTGTGAAACTAGATTGAGAGGATGTTGAACAGGAAAATTCTAAATGGAGCTCAGCAATTGTTCTGTATGTAATAGGAGATTCGCCTACTATAGGAGCAATGGAAAGATTCATAAGTTCAGTGAGTATATTCTCAACTAAACCTCATATCTATTATCATAATGATAATTATTTTGTGATTAGATTTGCTAATTTGGAAGAAAGGGACCAAGTGTTGTTTACTATGCCTCATACTGTTAATAATCGACCCATAGTAATGAAAGCATGGACATCAGACTTCAATCTCCATGATGAAGTATCGAGAACCATCTTTGTGGGTAAGGTTGCCTAATCTTTCACTCAATTGCTAGAGTATGAAGGCTCTAAGTAAGATAGGGAGTGCAGTGGGAAATCCTATGTATGCTGATGAATGTACAACTGGATCAGTTAGAATATCTTATGCAAGAATGTTAATTGAGATGGATATCACTAAACCTCTCCCTCGAAGTGTGAAGCTGCAAGATCCAATAGGCAGAACAGTTGAACAAGAGATTAGCTATGATTGGGAACCAGCGTATTGTAATAAATGTCTTAAGATAGAGCATAATTGCAATGAGAACAAAGTTTCACAACCTTAGAAGATGGTATACCAGGGGAGAATAAACAAAGGCAAACAAGTTTGGCTAAGGACAGACAGAGATGGCTCAAAGGACAATAAACAGGAGAAGGAACAAACAAAGAAGACTGAAACAATAAAACCACCAGAGAATGGGATAATGCAAGTTGATAGTGCTAAACAAACTGATGAAGCAGGGTGGACAACTATTACTAGTAAATCAGCAGCAAGATTAGCCAAAGCAAAGCAAGTTGAAGAGCAGAATCTAGCTGGAAATAATGGCTTCCAATCTTTAGTAAGTGAGCAAGCAATAAATGATCCAGGAACAAGCAGTATGCATATGAGGAGCTTTGGGGTGCTGGATCTGTATCAGGACAATCAATTCATACCAGTATGAGTGTGGTAACATGGAATGTTAGGGGGTAAAATAAAGCTCATAAGCAAAAGGAGATAAAGGATTTCATTAAGCAGAATAAATAGGCAGTGATTGCTTTAGTTGAGCACAAAATAAAAGAGCAGAAAGCCAGTAGCATAATGAAGAAAATTTCTCCTGGTTGGCAGCGGATATCAAACTTCATCAACAACAATAAGAGCAGAATTTGAGTAAAATGGGATCCAAGGATTTATGTGTTTGAGCCAATTGAGATAGATGAACAGATCATACATGGACAGATTAGAACACTCTCAATGCTACTAACATTTGGCTTTACAACAGTTTACGGTCTGCATACTATTAAAGACAGATTGAAAATGTGGAAGAAGTTCAGACAGATACATAGTCTGCAGCAAGGGCCTTGGATAGCAATGTGTGATTTCAAGCTGTCTTAAATAGCCAAGATAGGCAACATGGTACTATGATACAGGATATGAAAACAAAAGACTTTAGGGAATTTATAAATGACACAAGTATGAATGAACTCCATACTGTGGGAAAAGATTACACATGGACTAACAATCATACATACAGCAGAATAGACAGAGGACTGGTGAACTCTAGTTGGATGTTGACAATGGCTAGTTTGAAGATACAAGTACTAGAACCATCTGTGTCTGATCACTCTCTACTTAATTTCATGATTACACAAATGCAGATGAAGAAAACTAGGCCATTCAGATTCTTTAATTGTATTGCTGAACATCCTTATTTTATACAAGAAGTTGATCAAGCATGGAATACAACTGGAACAGATGGAAACATGCAGGGAGTTTGAAATAAGCTAAGAAGAGTTAAGGAATTAATCAAAAGGCTTAACACTTAACACTATAAAGCTGTTGATGACAAAACTAAAGAGACCAGAAGGGAGCTGCAGGAAGTTCAGGAGAAGATGAGATGCAGATTGCAGAATTCAGATTTAATTGAGGAAGAGAAGGAACTAAGAAGTAATCTAGAAAAATGGATACTGATTGAGGAAAGTATATACAGGCAAAGGTCAAGAGTCCAATGGTTAAAACTGGGTGACACCAACTCTGCATACTTCTTTGCTCAAATGAAGAATAGGAATAGTTTGAATGGCATTCATGCTCTCACAAATGATATGGGGGTGCAACTATATCTGGAAGAGGACATAGAGGTAGAAATAGTTGGCTATTATAAGCAACTGTTGGGGTCTAGAGCATCAGCAATTGCAGCCATCAATCCAAATGTAATGAAGATAGGGGCAGTGCTAAATAATGAACAGCAAGTTCACGT